GAATCATTAAATTTTTCTCTACTAACTTTATAGATTAGGTACATAATTTGACTTGAAATTAATTAATCTATACATATAATAAAATTGTAGAAAAGTGCTGTCTGTACATTGAAAATAAAAATAAAAAAAATAGCAGGGGTTATTGTTATGTCGATGTCGAACCCAAAAATGTAATTAACTTTTTTTTTGTCTGTTTGTCTTTTTGTCTGTTCACGCTAATCTCAGAAACGGCTGATCCGAGTTGGATGCGGTTTCCACGAATATATTGTGGTATGCTTCAGTTATGATTTAGTGTTTGTTTCATGTCAATCGGTTCATAAATAAAAAAGTTATGTCAAATTAAAGAATCACGTCGAACACTATTCTATGCTTATACATACATAGGCACCATTAATCTCCGCAACTATTTGACAGATTTGGTTGAAATTTTGTACCGACATATTTTAGAGCCTGGCGCAACATAAAGACTACTTTTTACCGCGGGAAAACATCCGTTTCCCATGGGAATTGGTAGTTTATTGTTTTTTTTTTAATCTATACATCTTCTATCTATATCTATTATTATCTATATCTTCTATATCTATCTATACATATAATAAAATTGTAGAAAAGTGCTGTCTGTACATTGAAAATAAAAATAAAAAAATTGCAGGGGTTATTGTTATGTCGATGTCGAACCCAAAAATGTAATTAACTTTTTTTTTGTCTGTTTGTCTGTTTGTCTGTTTGTCTGTTCACGCTAATCTCAGAAACGGCTGATCCGAGTTGGATGCGGTTTTCACGAATATATTGTGGTATGCTTCAGTTATGATTTAGTGTTTGTTTCATGTCAATCGGTTCATAAATAAAAAAGTTATGTCAAATCAAAGAATCACGTCGAACACTATTCTATGCTTATACATACATAGGCACCATTAATCTCCGCAACTATTTGACAGATTTCGTTGAAATTTTGTACCGACATATTTTAGAGCCTGGCGCAACATAAAGACTACTTTTTACCGCGGGAAAACATCCATTTCCCATGGGAATCGGTAGTTTATTGTTTTTTTTTAATCTATACATCTTCTATCTATATCTATCTATACATCTTCTATACATATAATAAAATTGTAGAAAAGTGCTGTCTGTACATTGAAAATAAAAATAAAAAAAATAGCAGGGGTTATTGTTATGTCGATGTCGAACCCAAAAATGTAATTAACTTTTTTTTGTCTGTTTGTCTGTTTGTCTGTTCACGCTAATCTCAGAAACGGCTGATCCGAGTTGGATGCGGTTTTCACGAATATATTGTGGTATGCTTCAGTTATGATTTAGTGTTTGTTTCATGTCAATCGGTTCATAAATAAAAAAGTTATATCAAATTAAAGAATCACGTCGTGAGTATATATTAAAAAAAAAAAACGCTGCTCATAGTCACTATTCCACGCGAACGAAGTCGCGGGCACAGCTAGTGTTAAATATAATTCTTATCCTTGGATTACTGATTTCGAACCGTTTGGAGTTAAAACTTTAAGGCCGTGGGGCCCAAGTGCACATTTTACAAAGATATTGTAAGGAGGATAGTTGACACTTCAGGTGATCGAAGGGCTGGCAATGACAGCATTCTCCCTCTCTCTCTGGCAGCATTACCCTGTGGTAATGCTGCCAGTCTTTTGGTTACCCTGCCTACCGATAGTAATCAGGACAATTTTGTTTTTGATACCTAGGGTAACGTTTTTATTATTATTTTTAAGGCGTAAATATTTTAGTTTTTAGTTATTTGTATTTTGTTGTATAACATTATTTGTTCATAATTAAGTTATTTAAATTTGAGTCTAGAGCTTTTCATATAGCTTTTATTTTTATACTAACGTTTTTTGTGTTTTAGATTTAACATAATTCATTATGTATTCATTTAAATCTTATATTTACTGAAGTCGTAGGTTTTTCTAATTTTTCTCTGTCTAGCCAACACTATTATCAAGCAAAATACTATTAATTAAGCGAACAATTTTAGTTACCGTCAAAATTTTGTGATTTTCATCGATAATAAAATTACAATAACAGCAAGATAATTAAACTGTGTGTTCGTTTATAAACACGTTCGTACCGTGTCGGAGCATCAAATGGTTTTTTGTTTACATCGTTTGTAGGTCATTAATGTTGAGAGCAATTAACTTTCATTGCTTTTAACGAGATATAATAATTTGTTACCATGTGTTTTGTAAACTTATACCATCATTGAAATGTAGGTACGTATGAAGTAATACTTTACTCAAATTTAGGTATTTAAGTAATAGGTACGGTATACGCTTGTATGTTTAAAAAAGATAAGCGGTGGCTTAACTACGAAATACTTGGATAAAATATAAAAATAATTCCCGAGTTATCCTATAAGCCTAAAGTTAAAAACTTAAAGCTTTTTGAAAAACAATTTTCATTCCATATTTAGTCTGTATCTATAAATTAAATCCGGTCAGGAGGTTTGCTTAAGACATCTTTTATGTATAGATATGTATCGACGATCTATCAAATAACTATTGCATTGGTTTACATCGGCGCCATCTGGGCTTGACATTTCTATATTTATCATCTTAGTACCGCGTGCATTCGAGATTTTAGTAGCAGTAGCTACTCTTGTACAATACATTAACCCATTTTTCTCCATTTCTTTCAACTTGCAAGTATACAATTGCGATGTTCAGATAGTATAGTTAGGCTTATTAGAAACTGTCTACGATAAAATGTAATTCACCTGTGTTCAACCCACAAAAAGGGCAAAAAGGATTTTATTCTAAGTAAATAAATATGTATTACTTGAATAGCTATAATGACAGTACCAATAACATCGTTAGAGGCATTGAATTGGCTCTTCCAACGTGTCCCCCTCATAAGCCTTCGCTATTGATCACGTCAAGACACAGGTTGGACACAATTTCCGGCTACTACGTCAATTTTATCTGATTAGTCGTCTGTGGGGATTCCACGTAATTTTATCCAACAACGAAAATAATGACTACTGGGAAGCTTAAGGTGTCTTTGATGTACCGAATACAATCTTTAAGACGTTTCGACTTATCGTTTTCGGGATGGTTTCTGTTATTATATCTGTGGCTATACCAGTTAGGGTTTTTGGATTTGGAAATTCAAATTTCCAGACTTTATAGTCTGCCTGTGTAAGGCTGATTTAAATCTAAGCTTCACTTACTATTGTTTATAACTCGATGTACCTACATTTTCGTTTAGTCTAGAGTTTTTAAAACTACTCTAGACATAAAATCCTCATATTTTTTACCTAAAAGGAATTGCCCATTGTCTAGAAACTGGTGGTATTACAACCCTGTGCCTCTGAGAACACGTAAAGCCGTTGGTCTCTGTTACCATACGAGAATTTACGATAGTCGTTGCTAGTTCGATGGCCAAAAATAACAACGGGTCGAACTAGGGATTTTATGTCATACTAGTGAGTCGTTCGGGGATTATAGCCGCTCTTCGGAGTACATGAAAATAATTTAATTTACTAGCATGACTCAATGCCGGCCCTGACTCAATCAATTCAAGTGTGGGAGAGCCATGCTTCGGCACGACAGGGCCGGCTCGACCGGAGTGATACCACGGCCCCACAGAAAACAGACGTGAAACAACGTTGTATTTCGTTGTGTGAGAGGTTACCGGAGGCCTAACTCCCCCCCCCCCCACCTTCCCCAATCCCCGAATCCACAACGATCCTCAAACTCCTAATTCTCAAAAGCCCGGTAACACACTTGTAACGCATCTGGTGTTCCAGATGTCCATGGGCGACGCCGACTCCTTACCCGACTTATGCCATAAAAAAACCAATGCCCAAATAAAATCTCATAATGATTAATTTTCTAACAACATTATCGACTGTAATTTTTTTGAAACTCTTATTGCCTAGTAGATTCGTACTGATAAAACTTTTCACATTACAAAAGTCTATAAGAACTTGTATGATTTTTGTGGATATTATATTTAACTACGATCTAATCCCGTCTTACGACAAACTCGACTGATCCGATAAATGAACTTATACAAAAGTTTAATATTACGTTACGCGTCGAAAACGCGGGATTGCGATCTTTCCCGACGACTGACTTTTGGCAAAGTTAAATAAGCTACGCCATGAGAAAACTCCGCCAATCTACCTCGTCGAGTGTAAGTACGGTTCTCTTAATAATAATATCGAGGTTTAACTATAATTGTGGTCATAAGTATAATTATCTTTATACTTTGGCATACTTATACCAGAAAATTCTTTATCCTCTATTTGTTCCGTTAAATATTGTTCCAAAGTTGTGTGGGTTTGGGCAATTGATACTTTTCGGATATTTCAAGTACATTTTTGCACTATGACATTTAACTTAGGTAGGTACTTACTTCTTACTTTGTTTATTTAGGTTATTATTATTTCGTTTGGTGAAGTGATCTTTATTGTAAATTAAATCATAGAACACTACTCACATAACTTCTTAGCTAAATTCGCTTTCAGTGGGGAACATTAACAACAATTAACTCGTCGAGTACCGGTTTTATAGACACAATTAAAGAACAATAGGTCGCGGTCACCGGTGACCGCTTGGTGTTTGACAGTTTAATGACATGACTACTAACAAATTATTTCCATAGTATCTGCCCACCCACATGCAAGACAGGCGTGAGGTTATGTATGTATAACTACTAACATGACGTGGTTTTTTTATGGGGAAAAATCATAGAATGACTGCTACCGCCTGGGTGAGGCGAGAGGGAGTATCAGACTCTTACTGACTAAAAACCACCGCGTTCCTTGTCCTGCGCTTCTAGCCAGAGCCCCAGTAACCCGTTAGGTTCTTCGCGACAACATGACGTGTAGTTTTTTATTTAGTCATTTTTAGGACAAAATAATACTTAAAACTTGGTGTTTGACAGTTTAATAAAGCTAATACGTTTTTGTATTTTTTAATTACATTTCCCCTCAAATGCTTATCTTTACTTATGGCTACTTAATATTGTTACAGATTGCACAGGATGTTTACTAGAGAGAATGGTAAATAATAGAAGTATCACCACAGGGAGTTCGTTCTATGAGGAGTGTTGCTGTTCTGATGACTCATCGATGGTGAAGGAACTAACATGGCTAGATCCTTACAACAGAATAATTGCGGGGTATGTTATTATGTCTAATAATTAATAAACTTCCAGTTAAAATAATGTATGTAGCCGAAGACTTTATATTGATATTTTTATGTTGTTGAGTATCTAATAGTCAAGTCGCTGTCAAATAAAACTCATAGTGGACAAAGAAAGGATGACGACGAAGTATCCACCTAAGTGTATAAAAGCTTTTTCTAAAATACTGTATTAAATTTAAATTTAGTTTAGTTATGACAAAGCTTAAAATTAATTTAGTAGAAGACTAGACGCGCGCAGTCTGAAATTGTGCCCGGTATATGGCAATAGGCTCACCCCGTATTACATTGGACTCATAACATAAATAGTATAACGTGGGTGTTACATTGTATACTGGCATTAAATTCCGTAATATGCACACTGTCTACCTCTTCGAGGCTAAAAGACGTGATGTTATGTTATGTTAAACTTGTAGAACATCTAATTTCTCCGCTGTAAAGTCCTAAAAACAACATTGTTTCCACAAGACCAGGTACAGATTCAAATTTGTACACCGAAGAGCAAAGTGGGTGCCTGTCTCTTCATATTCCCAGTGCAAGCAAGACAATGTCGGGAGCATACAAGTGTATGTCTTCCTACGAGGGAAAACAACAAACCCGCATTCATAACCTGGATGTATATGGTAAGATATATTAAGAATTTTATTTTGTTCTTAACTAAACAGCCATTCGTATCAAAATCATTGATTTAAAATAGTTTCACCCAATAAGAACTGAATAAATTATTATGTTTTCGGCTTACTCACGTAGTAATAGCTCGACGCCGACATAGCCCGCGACGCGGCGACTGTCGCGCGTCGCGAAATGCTGCTCATGAATATGAGCCTCTAGCATGGCTTGAAACTAGTCGAGTTCCTCGTCAAATTACTACGTGAGTAAGCCGAAAACATAATAATTTATTTAGTATGTCTCACGAAAGTTACAATATAAATACACTAAGAACTGCGTGTATAACTCATTTAGTAAAAAAATGGATAGATGTAAACTTGTTGACCATACAAATGAATAAATTTGAACCTAATGAAAATTATACGTTACATTTACAAAGTTTTGAAAGTCATTTATACCTTCGTCACAAAATCAAAACAACATAGTGACGAAAAGTGAAGAACATTTGATATACGAAATGTTTACTTTCATTGTTGCCAGTAAATTGCTTGTTCATATAGATAGTACAACAATCAATCAAGAAATAACATAATTGTTTTTGAAGCCCCTTCCATGCTCTTAGATTGAGGAAGCCACCGAGCGTACCAATTGATTGTAACCTTTATTTATTCTTTATTTAAAGTATATTATTGAACATATCAACAGATCCATTGTACTTCTATGGCACGGCTATGGAGCAGTACTTAGTGTTCAACAATAATTCCTTGATCACGTGTCAGGCAAATGGAGCCACGCCTCCTTTGATCCGATGGTACAAAGGAGAAGACGGAGCTAGTGAGGTAAGATGTTGAATAATTAATGAAATAATTAGAAAAAACAATCAAAATACAGATTTTATTAGATACGGTCTAAAGCATCATTTATGTACTTCGATTATTTTTATGGGATAGGCCGGTATTCGACGTCGCCCAAGGGCACCCGGAACACCAGAGGCGTTTCAAGTGCGTTACCGGCCTTTTGTGGATTAGGAATTTGAATATTCGGGGAGTGGGGAGATTGAGGAGATTGGACAGGGGGACAATTGGGCTTTCGGTAACACTTACTCACTCATATGACGAAACACAACGCATGAGGTTTTCTGGAGGCCGTAGTATCACTCCGGTCGAGCCGGCCCATTAATACCGAAGCATGGCTCGCCCATGTTTAAAATTGTTTCATATGATAAGATGTAGGATTTTTTTGTGCAATAGTTATGACTCAAGTATGAGTCCAAGATTAGTGGTCACTTATTTCGAAGTTTGTAATGTGTGAAAGAGAATTGTCTACTAAGAGTACTAAAAATTTAGTTTAAGGCATTAGCCATAGTATTAACTACGGTGGTAATGTAAATAAACTTTTAAATGAAGTTTTTTTTCATTATTTAGATATACAACAACACGACAGAAAAATACCAGATCATGCCAGAAGGTTTGATTGTGAAGAATGTGAGCACAGATGATGAAGGAATATACAAATGTTCAGCATCTGTTTTGTCGACTGGAGAAGAAGTGGAACTCGATATTCAAGCTAAGGTAAGTACAATAATAAATAATCATTCGGTATTATAATAATGCATCTACCGAACTTGGGGTTTAGTAAAAAAATACTCAAATATGACTGACCATAAAAGTAACGATTAAAATCTATTTTGTGAAGCTTTAAGTTAAAGAAACAAATAATAACCTATCTGAATTGATTGATAAAATAGGAGAAAAGCAATAATTGATAACAAATGTTTCGTAATGAAAGTAAGAAAATAAATTAAGTGTAGAATATTGCTATGGTCAGATATATGATATGTGACAACTTATTTCAAAGTGATTCAGAACCTATGATTTTAAACAAAATTGAATTGCAGGTAATGACGCCTCCAGTTATCACACAATTAAATGGAAATCCTGACTCCGTTGTACCAGTTGGGGAAAGTCTTATGATCCAGTGTTCTACTGAAGGTCTGCCTGAACCTGAAGTGGAGTTGAAGAAAATACCTGAACCGGTAAGAACCATGTAATTTGTTGTACAGATCAATACATTTTAAAGTTTCAACCTTCACAATTTGCAATAAAGTTGAAATTACCTATACCTATAGGTTGAGGTAGGTTGATGTGCTAACGAAAAAATTTATAACTGATTCCAACCTAAAACGTTTGGCCTAAGATCGATTTTTGACAATTGTTGTATGGAGTTCTGTCAAAAATTAAGATCCATCACAGATTTTGGATTCGGTTTTAAATTTCAGTCTTATGCAATCTTGTCCTAGCCAAAATTAAAGAATTTTCAATTCATTCATAGATTCCATTCAAGTAGAAACCGTCTTCACGTCGGTAATTCGCAACTACTTAGAAAGGGACTGTCATAGTGACATTTTTAGACGTCTCCGAAGATTTGAGGTCGGTAGTAAAGTTTTATTAAATCTGACAGCTCACTTACCTAAAAGTCACCAAGGACTCATTTTAGCTACGCAACTTGAACGGACCATAAAAGCAAGTTCGTTTGGTACTTTTTACTAGCACTTTGTATACCAAAGTTACGACGAGGTTAATAGTAGAACTAAACTTGAGTGATGGTAATAAAGGTGTTGCTCTAGTACTGAGATTTCTCTTGAAAATGTGTTTTAATGATTCAGATTTAAAGGTTTTATTTGTTTGTTCCACTTTACCTTCAGTTTATGATAGGAAGGATTGATGTTGTCATAATACCATGTACGATACGTAGTAATGTTGGTAAAATACTTGAGATCACGTGCATATGTCTTCAGTTGAACGCTGTGAGATGTAAAGAAAATTCGAGAGATAATAATATAAACAAAGATATTGAACTTCAAAACTAGACTCAAAATGATCCCTTGAAATCATCGGTTTCCCAGTAGTAACAAAATATACTTTTTATTTGTTTCAGAGTCCAGGCGAAAACAAGACAGTTCCTTGGGATATACATTCGAAAGGAATAATTCGTTTTAATAGTATAACACCAGAAGACGCTGGCACTTACGAATGCATAGCTAAAAACTTCGTTGGGGAGGCTAAGCAGCAACTAACAATAACGGTAATATAGGATTGAACTTAAATTATTATTTCATATTTGATATAAATTACTTTCTAACAATTCTTTTTTCTTTCTTACTTCTTTCATTCTAAACAAATTATAGCTTATGCATACTTACTGCGATCAACTTACTTGTCCATGCATAATGTAACTTAATCATAGAAAAAACACACTATATAGATACTACGATAAAATTAAAATAGAAGACAATATTTTTCAGTCTAATACGATTACATTTAATTATTATTATTAACATTATAATTAATTATTTTTTCTAATCCCCAAACTAAATTTATTTATTTATTTACACTTTTTGCACACAATACAATGACGGTCTTAATGCCTAAATCTAAATCTTAGTTTTGTTGTGTTTTAATTAACAGGTACTGATCAAACCAGAAATCATAGGCTTCACGAATAGATCTGCTGTGGAGGGTACAGTAATACCAATGTTCTGTAATGTAACAGGTGTTCCTATACCAAGTGTTATGATTACTTTCGAAGGAAAAAGTTTAGATGAAGAAAAGTACGTATAACTTCTAAGAAAAGGTAAGTATGTAAAGTTGAAAAGTATTCTAAAAGCTAATGTTCATAATGTTTTCAGAGATACTGATTATGATGAAATTGTTGAAAATTTCTCCTTACTGAAAGTAAATAGATCTAGTGAAGGAATATACATTTGCAACGCTACTAACGACGGTAAGTCCAAATTTTCCTTCAGACGGCCTATAAGAGAAAGTAGAGACAAAAGCTAAAAAGACACTTAATAAAATAACTGTGTATTGATTTTTAACTCTGTTAAATGTTTTATGTATTTTCTGAGAAAATATTGCCAACTCAGACTCTTGAACATAATGTGTGAACATGATGTGTGTATAAAACTTGGACTTATCTAACATTTATTAAATACTAAAACTTGCTTTTTTCATCAATTCTAGTGGACACAAAGACTGAGTTGATGTATCTGACAGTCTTACATCAGCCATACTTCGACAAGACTTACGAACCGCTTTGGGCTTGGAACGGTGAAACTGTGAACATCAGTTGCGCTCAAGATAGCAATCCCCCTGCTAATTTTACTTGGAGGTATGTTCAAGGTTTTCTTTAGAAAGTAACGATGGACTTTATTGCTATCTTCTCCATTCGAAACTATACTTTGAAACGAGCACCTTTTTTTTAACGTGTGGAAATCCTCATGGATACCCTTTGTCTAGACAATGAGCCTCAGACAGCAGGTTATGTCGGACTCTTACCGACTAAAACCACACAGTCAATCCCAGAAAACAATGAGAGAGTCACTGGGTACTCGAAACGAGCACCTACCTTCACTTATTATTCAATTTGACGTTTCAAAAGTGCATAAGGATTCATTGATTTGAATTAGACTTTCCGTTCTTATTGTTAAAGATATTTATTACTTCAAATTATTTTTCTTAGTATTTGTTGTCTCGCGGTTCTAAGCCTGGTTTAAAGGGCAATGTTAAAATATACATGTTATAGACTAATCGATAGTGTCCTACATACTTACATCGGAAAAATGATCGTGTTTCGTAGATCCGATACTTGTAGAAGTGTAAATACTTAGCTCTAATTTTATGAATCAAATGTCAGTCATAACCATCACAAGTTTAAAGCGTAACGTATCTACATATATTGTTAGCCATTGCAATTTTCAGCTCATACTTTTAAAATAACGTATTTTTTTAGCTTTGTACCAGGGAACTTTTCAACAATAGAGCGACAAGAACATGACAATATTGTTCTGGACTATGAAACCACACTGGAGCATTCGTTCCCCTTCTCAGAGCAGTTTGCACCATTTGGAAGACATGAGTGTAGAGCCAGAAATCAACATGGAGAAGCCGTTAAAATCTTTCATATTAGAAAAGGATCTGTACCATCAGTTATTATAAATGTAAGTAGGTGTAATTCTTTTTAATCATCATAACATAACATCACGCCCGAAGGGGTAGGCAGAGGTGTACATTATGCCAATGTACAATGTAACACCCACTTTTCACTATTTATGTTATGAGTCCCAGTGATATTTTGCCTGACCCGGGAACCGAACCAGAACCCCCTTGCCCGGCAGTCGCACTCGGCCATTGAGGCTCTTTTTAATCAATAAATCTTAATTAGTACATGGATTTGAAGCCACGCCTCTATTTGGGTCCAAAGATCTGGCTCGACAAAGGTTTTTGATTTTGCAACCAATTTTTTCTACTTGAAGAATTCTGAAAATTGTAGGTACTTAATGTCACAATAATAGTCTTGATTTATTTTGAGTTATTGCAAATATAATAATCTCTATTTAGGTACAGATAGAGAAATCACAACGTTAATTCAGATCATTTTGTTTGCCTACCTATGCCTACAAAATAGTAAATAAACAGATTTCAAAATCAGTTCAGTTTTCAATATGTGTTCCAAAATGTGTTTAAAAACATGCCTTAGAAGGCGTGTTTGGACTGACAAGACATCTATGTCTTCTCGTCATTCCGTCAGTCCAGCGCTACTTGGAAATATTTCGTCTGTCTCGTATTCATTTTGCGACACACTTGTCTAGCTCTTAGATGAAAACACAAAACCAAACCTTTCTAGTTCCCATTTTACACTTTGAACAATATCCGTCGCAATTGGACCATGACCTTTTCCGTTGGACAACTAAAGAATTTCAAATACTGTATACATTATAACTTTTAAGTTAACTAAACAAACATAAAGTTCATTTGAATTACAAATAGATACTGTTATTGTAGTTAAATATTTCATCGGAATTTAGCAAGGAGGTTGTTTTGCTTTTTTTTTGTAATGAAATGATTTAATTACTAATTCATATTGAAGCATTTTAATCTGTAGCGAAGTAATGATTTGTTCTAATATTTAATTTTTCAGTTATATTTTATTAATACTTATACCTATGCTTTATCAGAACTTTTAACCTCTGACCTTTGACCTAAACCGTAATAACATTCACAGAATCGAAAGATCTCGAAATTGCCAAAAGTATGCATATATTTACCATAGTACATACGCAAAGTATATACAAATTGTGACAAACACATCACAATTCCACACTATCTTGCTTTTTATGTACACCTTCAAGATTTACTGTAAATGAAGACACTTTCACATAAAGTTTCTCGACAAAATGTATTCAAAAGAATCATATTATTATTTTTATTTCTTTTGTGTGTTACTTCTTTGTCGTTGTGCGGTTGTATAGTTTTTTGACGTTTAAAATATTATTATTGTGGTTTTTCTACTATTATTATTTAATTAATAAATGAAATCCTGGTGAGCATCTCTAAAAACCGTAATACACCCCAAATTAATAATAATGGTCTTAATCGAAAACTATAAGTTTTGTTGCAAATCGATTAAGCAAAAATGTTGAACTGACATCGGTGATTAATTTCGTCCAGTTATAATCTGTTACATAATAATATAGTTAAGTACCAACGCACTAATATATACTTAGTGATTAACCATCATTACTAATATTTTCAGGTCCTACAATTTCCAAAGAACTAAGCCATGTTTATGTAACCAAAATATAAATCTATTAACCATTCTTTGTAGGCTACAACAATAGAAGAAGCGGCGACATCAGCTACATTCTTCATTGACACTCCGACAGACTATGAAGGCCCTGACGTCATAGGATTTATAGCAGAATATGACGATATAGAAAAATATGAGATCACCAATATTCACCCAAATAGGACTTGGGCAGTTGGAATTCCTTTCAAGCTGGAGAAACTTAAATCTAATACCACATACTACATTAGGTTTGCGGCGATAAATAGAGTTGGTACTGGAGAATGGAGTAAATACCTGGCGTTTGAAACTATGGACAAGTAAGTATCTTTAGGGAAAATAAATGAATTTGCAAATAAATTATTTGATTTGATTTAACCGACTTCAAAAGGAGGTTCTTAGTTTGACGAGTAAGTATGGTATGTTTGTGTGCGAATATCTCGAGATAGGCTGAACTGATTTGATGAAAAAGAAGTGATTTTTACACTCAAGATAAGGTTTTACGATATGAATTAACCGACTTACTTCAAAAAGGAATGATTAGGTACTTGATCTAATGGTCGACAGTGTCATTACTGAAATTTGGTTTCAGTAAGCTATTCTGAACTCGCTGTGTCCGGGAGCGCAGATGTACGTGAGACACTATGTTTTTTTTTATTGTGTGTCATATACCAGCATACAAGAGGTTAAAATATACTAAGTATAAATTTAGAATTAACTTTAAAGACACTTTTGTGAAGTCACAGTTTTAGTGAGTTACATAAAAATACCACAATTCATAGTCTTTCTTCTCAAAACCTCTAGAAGGTAGAAATCTTCACATTATCAAATAAAGTACCTTTATCCTATTATTGACAGAGATATAAAAGTCAAGGTTACAGAGACAAGTCAATATATATAATTATATTTTGTTCAAAATATTGTTACTCAGTCCATGAGGTACCTACCTATTAGCGCCTACGCACAACTTATTTTTTGTAGCGTGGGTGTTTTTATTCTGTGTTAAAAACGAGTAACAATCATTATTAAATAATAGGACCCGATTTAATTAAGGTGACGATGCAGAATTGTCCTACTTGATTATAGAATTTGATTTTATTTATTGCTACAAAAAATATTGATTGGACATTCGGAAATTGTAGGAAAGGTTCGTTCGACACTTCGTTAGCGAATCTTGTTATTGTTTTATCAAATTTTACAGTATTGTTATTACGATTGTATTGTGTAGCAGACGTAATGTAGAGAGTAGAGATTTAAGTGCTTTAAAATACTTTTTATCACAATATTTACCTACATTATGGAAAAATGGATAATACTTCTTAATAATTAGTAATGTAGAACTAGCTGATCATTCGAAAGATTAGGTTGAATATGACCAGATAATAATTTTTGGCAAACATTCTAAGTTTTTCTGAAACATAATTTGCGTTAAAATGATCTATTGCATCGAAAATAATAATTAATTGCAACTAAAATAGATATCAAACAAGCCGTTACATTTTTTAAAATTTATTTACACCCTATAATTTCACAGAATACAAAAAACAATCTAACAAAATAATCTTTATAGGTCAGCTCCAGAACCTCCGATATGGCAACTAGATGAGGTCGAGATATCGTCGAACAAGGTGCTCAAGTGGAAAGCTCCGGAGAACAACGGGGAACCGATAGACTACTACGCTTTACGATACTGCCCGGTACGTGCCCTGTGACGTCATTAGGAAGGCTGAGGTCACAGACAGCTTCGTGTTACCACAATGTACTTTGGTTATTAGAATATCGTAGTAGTGTTGCATAGTGTTCAAGCAAAGTAGTAGGAATTCTGAATATCTAGCATTCTATTGAAGTAGTATGTGGAATTGGTTATTTGAAATGCCAGTTGTTCATGTGACAGCATATACTTTTTAGGTTTTCTATATCTTCTTCTTATTTTCACCTTCCACCTGTTTCTAAATTTTATGCCTTAACAGGTAGGTTCATTTTGGAAGGAATGTTTTTAAGTATACATAAGCAGACACTAGAATTAACTAAATAAAAGAACAAATATATACATATAGGACAGAATGGACAAAACAGTGTCTTGTTTGTCAACAAGGGTCTATTTTTAAAACCATTTTTCAATAAAATTTTGAACCTTTGAGTCAAAGTCAAAGCATTTATGTCAATTATACCTTGATTAAGTACTTTTGAAACGTCAAATTAAATTGTTAGTGAAGCTAGGAGCTCGTTCCAAAGTATAGTTTCGAATGGAGAAGAACAAGCAAGAAATTCCATCATTACACTTTTCAAAAGAAGTGTTTTTACAATCTCACAAATAATACTGCCCAATATACCTTTGTCTTGATTATATTTGTGATTTTAACTTATCAGTCGGTTAGCGTAATTTAACTGTCATCATAAAGAAGGAAGTTAATAAAATAATATTTCAAATGTCTTTCTCATAATCTGTCTTAATACTCCAGTATCTTTTATTACTGTCAATCATAATAAATAGATACATAACAATAATACCTCTAGTTTAGATTTATTACGACGTTTTAAGAAAGTTTTATTTGTTTTACGAAATTGATTAGACATTATTAATTTTTGATGAATCAAGTATGTATTTGTTTCATTGTCATGACTTGCTTATCTTTTTGAATTATCAGTGCAACAAAAAATCTGCTCTTTCCTTTCGGTAGTCCAGACAATGACATAGCAACAAGAGATCGCATATTCATAAACATTATTTAATTTGTAATGCCATAGAAAAAATTTTCAGTAATATAATATAAACCAAAAATAAAAATAAAAACTAAAATAGTTACAATTACCAATTTTAAAAGTATATTTAATAAAATGATATCTCTTCTACAGGTTGATGAAGAAATAATTGAGTCATTATGTAAAGAGCATCGACTGGAAGGGGCAACCGAACTATTAGTGAATGAACTAGAACACAACGCTACTTATCATTTAGAACTGATAGCTCATAATGCTGAGGGAAACTCTACTCCTGCTAATATAACTCTTACTATACCAGGTAAGCACTTCTTTGAAAGAACTTCCCTACAATAAGCGTTAAAAGATTTTACAGACACGCAAATGATTTTTATTAATGATGAAATTTTATAGTTCTCAAGCTAATTTCACGATTCCTTTTTAATTTAAACAAAGATTATGAAGTCTGCAATATTTTTTAGATTTCCTTTTTTAATTTATCAGAGTCAATTCAGGCATAAATTAAATACGAGTTCCTTTTATTATTTAATACTACCCATTAAGCGTGAATAGTAAGCGTATCTCCGATTTGAACCCTAAGGTTTTTTTAAAAATGGATTCTTGAAGAGAAATTAACACAACCTAAGGAATAAACAACTTTCATTAACTATGAATGCAAACCTACTGTAAACGAACATGTATTGTTTCAGACAAACTCACAAGTGCACCAGTATCAGTACTTACAGCAGGAGCATTGATAGGGCTATCCATCGTCGTAGTGTTAATATGCCTCGTACTACTGGACATATTGCTCTACTTCTGGAAAAAACAGGGCATCATTGCCAGCTGTTGTTGCAAGAAAAACAAGAATAAGAAACCAAACCCTTTGAATCAACGGTAAGATTAACATTCATTAACTTTAAAAGAGATTTGTCATATAGTTCAGCATCAGTTATAGATGTTTACATACAATTAATGCGCAATGTTGTATTGTATAGATTTTTTCTTTCAATCATCGCTTCAAAGCTATAAATTGATTTCTCCTAACCTTTAATAAAACCATTACCTCACAGACCCTTGCTATAAAAAATCTCCGTGACCTTATTTCAATAGCAACTTTAATAAATTGCGTCATTACGCGAAGATATTAAAAACTCCTAAATCACGTGGATTACCCTCAAAAATCTTCAACTTCCAAAATCCCTACCAATTATGATTAAGGGAAAGTAATAAACGACAAATCAAATCAAAATTTATTAAGCCGACCCGAATTCAATCAAGAAAAATTCAATTCTAAAGGAGATTTAATGAAAAAAATCGGGAATAATTTGTCTTGGATTGGCGCGTCACCTTAACCTCGGATCCGTCGATTTTCCGAAGGTCTTAAATCACGCTCTCTAAATTCTTATTGATTTTCAGTGACAAGAAAGGTCTGTTGAAAGACAACGGGGAATCTGGCACAGACGATACTTTGAGGAGGCCTAACAATGGGCACAAAGAGTACGAGTACAATAAGACCACAGGCATTATTACCGGGAAACATTCCTCTGTTTAGAGTAAAGAATTTTAAAACGTTTAACGTGAATCGTACGATTTTTTTGTCAGGAAATCTGTTGTCATTGTTCGGTCTTTTCGTACGCCTGTGACGATAAACGAGGCGCTCAAATTTTATTATAATGGCGTTTCTGTTTGTGTTTTATTTCCTTGTATGGTTTATTTTCTAAACATTGTCCATTACTCCTATTTTCTCTGCATAATATTTATAACGTATTGGCTTCATAAACATTGGTGTGTTACAAAAATTTTGCACTAGTAAAAATATTATTTTTGGTCAAAAATAATATATTTTTCTTACCATATCGCTCACTAATACCTACATTTACATTTAGGAGCTTATGTAGCTTTATATCATTACAATTAATATTATATTACCTTAATTAATTAAGTCGTACGATTCACGTATTATTTTTTGGTAAGTAAAGTGATATTGTGTATCTTTGGAATGTTAGTAATGTGTAAAAGTTTGTATGTAATGATATTTTATTGAGTGTCCGGTGAATTTTGACGTTAAATTTAGTTACCTACTTACATACTTATAGTGTTTGTAATATTTTTATAATAATTTATTTATGAAATCAGACATCAATATTTTCTTTATTTCATATAGTTATTTATTTGTTTTTATGTAGCAGTAAAATAAAGTGATCTTACGCCGGGCATCGAGAATAGGTAAGATACTGTCTAATATAAAATATAATCCATTTTTATCAAAACAGTACAAACATTTAAAGTGCCTTTATATTATGCAAAAATATGAAAGAAAGAAAGAAAGATCATATTGTTAAATTTTACTATTCCAAAATATATTTATGTTATTTATTAAATGTTGTCATTATATACAATAGATTAAATAATGTTTTTAAACCTTTAATATAGCGTAAAATAAATATAAGCTTAAAATTGTTATCGTACCAAAGAGTAATACGTACATAAACAAATTATAGCAAAACTATTTTTACTTGAAATATAAATTATTGTCTAAATATAGAGTATCTATACTTAAGTAAAAGTACTATATTTTTTACGTGTTATTTATTACTTAAAATTAACAAAAAAAGTCAAGTTGCCAGTAGTTTTGCTATAAAATTTTTTATTTTTATTTTTCAATAAAATTATGTATAATTGTAGTTAATATTGGTTTTATTTATCCCTTCCATAATTGAAGCAAAAAAAATACTACTATTATAAAGATAAAATTTTCGAGTGCGTTTTTTGGATTAGTGCTTTTTGTATCCTCATATAAATAGCTAAACATGTTCACATACTGATATCAAAGTCGCGGAGAACCTAACGGGTTACCGGGGCTCCGGCTCGAAGTGCAAGAGAAGGAACAGGGTGGTTTTTAGTCAATAAAAGTATGACACTCCCACCCGCCTCACCCAGGCGGGAGCAGTCATTCGATGATTTCCCCCCCTTAAAAAAATACTGATACCAAAAACTAAAGACACTTACTTCGTGGACTGATTTAGTCTACTACATAATTTACCTCTAATCAATCCACCTACGAAGTACCACTAAGAGAAAATAAAATACCTGATCCTTCAGCACTCACCTACCTACATCACAGAGGTTCCACTCAAAAACATTACTTAGAAATCTCCAACAGATCTTCAACTTTACCTGACAAACATAGTTACTTACCTCAGACCGTAGACTGAACATTTTGCCCACACAATATTATGTTAAACCTTAAAAGAAAGACAAGATGTCTATCCTAAGAACGTGACTTCGCACTAATCCCACCGTATTTAGACTTTACTTTCTACTCCATTATATGCATACATAATTAAAATTATTTTTTATATAATTTTAACACAACGTTAAAGAGGTTTTTGTTTGCCTTATTAAGGTTTTTTTAGAAAATCCTGAATGCTAATGAAAGAAGGTAATGAAGGTAATGAAGCGGCATGTTCAAGAAAATTTTGCTTGAAATCCGGTTAAGTAATCGAACAGTTTTAGTGAACTAACTGCGAGTAAGCAACAAAAATGAGAATTACTGTTATTTTGCATAACATAACATCACGCCTTTTATCCCCAAAGGGGTAGGCAGACGTGCACATTATGCCACTGTACAATGTAACACCCACTTTTTACTATTTATGCTATGAGTACCATGTAATAGGGGATGAGCCTATTGCCATATCCCAGACACGATTTCAGACTCCGTGCTACTACTGAGAATTTTTAAAACCTAGTAATACTTTGCCCGACTCGGGAATCGAATCCGAGACCCCTTGCCCGGCAGTCGCACTTGCGACCATTCGACCAACGAGTCAGTCTGTTTTATAATTACTGTCAAAACATAATTATTATTACTGCGATAGCTTCGCTACAACTAAAGAAACTATGTACCTATGTTATGTGGTTAATAGACCCGAACTATTATAGACTAACAAATAAGGAGCAAGCTTAACCAAACTCTAAACACCGTTCAGTTTCATTTAGAATTCTCCAATAATTACAGTACTACTTACTTTCGTACCACTTTATATCATCTAGGTAACATCTAAATCACCAACAGCCTATTAAGGCCCACTGCTGAGCAAAGTCTCTTCTCACGCGGAGAAGGTTTGAGCATTAATCACCACGCTTGCTCAATGCGAGTTGGCGATTACAAACTTATAATAAGAAATTATAAAGCCCAGGTATCCTCACTATGTTTTTCTTCACCGTTTGTCGGTGAGATAATCTTAGAAAGTATATAATAACTCGGATAAAGTCACATTGGTACTTGCCGTTAGTAGGTTTTGAAACCGCACCTTCATGCATGAAAAGCGGGCGTCTTAAACCTCCGGGCCACCACGACATCCAGGTATGTAGTTAACAAAAATGTCACAGTCGATTAAGATTTCAAGATAAAAGCAGGCGTTAAATTCAAGGCCTTAAAATAAAATTGATGGCAATGATTATCTCGTTTTAATTAACTGTAAATCGTTAATCGGATTGATTCATGAAGCAATCGGTTGGTGCGACCTAAATCATTCTGAATACTTAATGAATTCGATTCCAAAGGCTACGGCGCACCTGTTATTGAAAATTAATACTTTAGAAGACGGGGATCGGTGATATAATCTGGTAAGTTGTGAGAGTACGGCGTTTTGTGTAGAGTATGCTGAAAGGTGACTACGAAAATATATTTTAAAATTATATACATATGAGTGTATTTGCACAAATTTCAACACAAAAAATTAATGAAAATTTGCCTTTTAAGTGTAGTAGAGCCATGCATACTTCGGCAAGAATGGGCCAACTCGACCGGAGTTATACCACAGAAAACTGACGTAAAACAACATTAGCGTTGTGTTTCGTCGTGTGAGCGAAGTTACCGGAGGCTCAATTACCCCTCCTCAATTTCCCTTATCCCCGAATCCCCAACAATCCTTAAATTCCTAATCCCTAAAAGGCCGGTAACGCACTTATAACACTTCTGATGTTCCAGGTGTCTATGGGCGGCGGCAATTGCTTACCTTAATGGTCTGTCTATTCGTTCACCGGATTATTCCATAATAAAAATGTTGTGTTCAATCATAAAATCTTTTTTTTCCAGTTAGGTACTCAATAATAAATATTACAAAATCAACGAATACTCACATCTAAATTAAAGGTACTTAAATTAAGTGCACACTGTATGTACATAAGTACTTCTGAAAAACAAGCTTAATGATTCTGTTCGCGAAATCATACAAAAACGTAGTACGAAGTGATATTTCATATTCCGATCACAAAATGAGCAATCCCGCTCCACGTAACGTTTGGGCCATCCATCCTCACCTGCAACGCTGATATTAAACGTTTGAACTGCAAAGCAGACGAGCGTGTTATTGAAAAATTCTGGTATTTTATAACATGTCACAGGTAGAAATAATTTATACCCGACTGCGTGCTATACCTAACCGAATCCATGTATAAAGAATATTCAATCAAGACAAAATCATTGCTGAACTCTTCATCAGTTAAGATAAGACTCCCATTTAATAGGAACTGTGCTTATTACCTATACCGCACACTACTACAGACAGACTACTACAGTACCTAGGCACTAAAAATGTCGAAACGAAAAGACTCAATAATGTGCTATTCAACCCATGAATGGCCTTCTTAGACCTTCTCAAAAATTGCACAAACTTCTGACCGTTCGCCAAAAGAAACTCAAATAATACGTTATGTTTCTTACACCTAATCAGCATTATATCGTAGAACCAATTATCATAACACTAACGCGGCGCTTTCTCTATCCTTTTATAACTCTCCTAGTCTCTGAGGCGCCATTTATCACCATTCTCCCACTAAAACTCCACAAAAATCCCCTCAATTTCCATTAGACAGATATACCAACAGTTCCGCAAATCTGTAAAAGTAACCGCAAGCAATACGGTTGGACGATGCAACTGTCAGTTCCCAAGCATAAGCGGCTATTTGGCCAATTTATAGGCTTCCTAACTGAATGGCCCGCAAGTGTCAATAATAGCTTTTAAAGGTAACATTTTCCGGTAAAATGAAACCTCTCGTAAATTAGTTGTGTCTGGTTTAGACAGACAACAACAGAGTAAATAATAGTTTTCAGCAGAAACTGCTTTTTATTCCATTTTAAAAACAAAAGTTGAAATTATCTCCTTTCAACATTGTTTATTTCGGTGTTCAATATGAACACCAAATTAAAAAATTCCTTTAGTTGGATAAAACCTTCGTTTGTTGAATTGCTCTCCTCTACTCAGTAATAACATACGGATTCCAAAAGCATATGCTGATGATAATTATGCCAGTTTTGGAATAATTAATTATTCACGTTAATTTGTGGAATGTATAAATAAAGATATTTTAATTACGTAATTCAATGGTAGGTACTTAACATTCGTTACCCGTGTTTTAATAAAAATCCGAAAACATTGAACTGCAGCATTTAATCGCGTTACAAATTGGTAATTACCGAACAAAACCTCCAAAGCTCCAAGCTTGAACAAAGTTTGAAACCAAAGAGACCCATAATTCCATTGCATTCATTCTTAATCAACTTTAATGTCTTTGTTCTGCTTACTTTGCCTTATTAAAACTATGCTGAGGTGGATAATTAGAGCAATCCTCTTTGTTTATACTTTTCGCTTGATGTTTTTCTCCGTAAATCATTCCAGAGGACAGGCAACCGCTAATTACCCTTTTTTCTACGCATAAATTACAATTCAACGTTTTAATTTAAAATGACTGATTTATTTGCCTACTGACTTTCGCGATTATTG